GGAGGGAGCAAGGGGAAAGCGAGCCACGAAGCCCACCCTTGCTGGCAAGGCAGCTCTGTCCGGCGTTTACCCGCATGGAGAAGCAGGGCTGCAACTTGCTCCGAGTGGAATTCCCTGCCGTGTTGTTGTTACAGCTCTGGCACACATGGGCATCTGACCCCCCCAGCCCAGCCAGTGGCTTTGCTGCACAGGAGCCTGTGGATGGGGCAAATGGGACTGAAGGGAGGCAGGCAGGTGGGATTTTGGAAAAAACAACACATGGACAACTTAAATTCACAAAGATCACCCCACCCTCTGCCTGCACAGCTCCCATGGAAAGGTGCTGGGCATGGCTGTGCCCCCAATACCAGCAATGGAGCAAACTGGAGCTCAGCGGGTAGACCTGCCTCCTGAAATGGCAAAAGCCACCTACTTAGGACACAAGTGGTTGCAGGCAGTAAAAAAGTATCACCAGTCTCATAGAAAGGCTTGCGCTGCAAGGGACCGTCTAGTTCCAACCTCCCTGCATGGGCAGGGGTGCCACCCAATAGATCATGTTGCTCAGGTTGCTTACCTAAGCCCAAACTGAGTGCTGTGCCAGGGGATGCCCAATTCCTTTCCTCCCAAGCAGCCCAAGGAGAGGGATGCAGGAGGGTTGCCCACAGAGGGATCCGCCTTTGCTTGTCAGTTGGTGGTGTGAAGGAGAGGCAGAAGGGGGGGCCGAGGGCTGAAGGCAGCACCCCACAGGAGCAGGGTCCAGCTGGCAGCACGCTTGGCAGCGGTAGTCAGTGGCAGGCTATAAATACCTCTGACAGGAGATAGAAACACAAAAGCCGTATCCACTTTCCCCAAATAGCTCAGCAGCCAGGCCAGACAAAGGCACATTGATGGAGCAGCCATGGTGTACCAGCTGGGCTGGGCTCTGCTGGCAGAGAGAAACCCCACTCAGCATCAGGAGCCTCCAGCCGACCTGCCCGCAGGCACTGCAGCAGCAGTGTCCCCAGCACATGGCAGGGCTGTGCTCCATCCCATTCCCTGCAAGTATTCAATGCCAAGCTGGATGGGGCACTGCACAACCTGTTCTAATGAGTGGCGTTCCTATCCATGGCAGGAGGGGTCACTTTAAGGTCACTTCCAGCACAACCCATTCAGTGATTCAATGGGTGCCTACTAACCCACAATCTCCCTTGCTGAGAGGGATAAGTATTTGAAGGATGCAAACCCTTGGGTAATATCAAGCTGTTGGAGGTCCCATCCCCAGTGTATCCCTTAGTTAGAGTGCAAAGCGGCAATTGCGTTGTCTGTTCTCCAGCCCCTGCTCTTCTCTTTCACATCCAACACCAGCCAGCATATTTCAGGGCTGGCAGGGAGAGCTGAAATTGGATGACACATGCCTGGAGTGACTGTCCCTGTGCTGGCACAGCTTAAAAGGAAGAGAGAGCAAGAGTGAAGGGGGATGGGGGCTGTCCAGGGACCAGGAAACAAGGAGTTACATAAGCTATGCTCAGAGTAGCCCTGGAGACCTACAGTGTCACGTAGCAACACTTCATGCTCCAGGAGCACAACAGGTTTGCCCCTGCTCACAGCAACTTGCAAGACAAAGGTTGGTCCTGGGCAGCAACACCAGCTAGAGACAAGTCCCCTGAGTTTACTCCAGCAGGGCAGGAGTGGGGCTAAGGGTAAGTGTGGGATCATATTCAGGCAGGATTGTTGGGGAAGGAGCTGCTCACCTGAGCCAGGGGGAAAGGCTAGGGATGGAAGGGAGAGCAGAGGGTTTGGATAGACTGTGCATGGCTGTGCTGGATCAGCCCCCGCTGTCTGAGGCTGATGGGCATGAAGGCACTGGAGAAGGGAAGGCAGCTGCCATGGACCCCTCAACCCCTCTGCATCTTGTCCCATAGGGACCCACATGCCTGCTGGCATGGGATTTGCAGAGCAAAGCAAAATGACAGTGGGATGGAGACGCTATGGGACACCTGCCTCTCCCTGGCACTCGTTTCCATTCCAGGCCACCCATATGGCTGAGCAGCCCTTCACAGAGATGACCCTCCCAGCCCAGGTGATGGCTGCAGACAACACTGAAGCGCCCCCACTCCGTGCTGTGCGCCGTGGCTCCCAGCCCCCAGCCTGGGGCTCCGAGGAAGGAAAACCACTCCTGCTCTCACGCCGCAACTCTATCCTCAGCCGCCGCAGCTCATTTGGGGTGGTCCCTGGAAGCAGGCGCCCCTCCATTGGCCCCTGGATGCTCCACAGCCGTGTCAGCTTCTCTGGGCTCCCACTTTTCCAGCCCATCCTCAAGGCCTGCCTAGAAAATACTTACAGGATGCAGCCAGATGAAGGCTGTAAGTTCAATGCGGAGCGGGTGCAGCAGGTGCTAGAGGGGGCCCTGGCGAGTGCACTGGGGACCACTGCCTACAGTCCCCAGGGCAGTGCCCCCCTAGTCCAGAGCCTGGTCGAGTTCCTACAGAGTCGGGCCAAGGAGGTGGTGCCACCCCGCTACAAGCTGGTCTGCCATGTGGTGCTGGGTCAACAGGGCCAGCAGAGCCTGTTGGTAGCCAGCCGGGCACTATGGGATCCTGAGACTGACAGCTTTGCCTCTGCAACCTTCTCCAATGCCTCCCTCTTTGCTGTGGCCACAGTGCACGGGCTCTACTTTGAGTAGCACACATGCCTCTCCATTCACCGAGTCTTGTAGAGCAGGGGGAGAAGAGCTGGAATAAAGAGATTTTGTCCAGCTGCGTCTCATACCCAGAGTCCTTGGCCGTGGTGTGTGGAAGGAACAAGACACAGATGCTTAACTCTAGCCTCAGCTCACACCCACCGTAGCTCCCACTACTATGGTTTGCGAAAAGACCCAAAGGGCAGCAAACACAACCCAAAAGGCTGGATTGCCCCAGAACAGGCAACTGCCCAAAGCTGTTGGAGCAGCCTAGGCTGCTTCCCACAGCACAAGCTGCTCTCAGGCAAGTTGATTTCACCAACACTGGGGAAGGTGACAGATCACCTTCAAAGCAAACTCATGGAACTCTTTCCTGGCTTCATTCCCAACTTGTATCCCCCATCACACAACATGTCATAGTGCAATCCCTCCAGCACCTGGGCCATAGCTCCTGCAGCTCAGCAGAATCAGGAGTAGCTGGATTGGGTCCAAGTGCAGAGAGAATTGGGAATGAGTTTGGCAGCAGCTAATTCTGTCCTTCCTGCCAGCCCCATGAAAGCAGTGGAGGTACACCACATGGGCTCCTCACATTCATCCTGCCTCCCTGACCTTGTCCTCTAGCAACAGACAGGGGCAAGAAGGGTCTTTCCTGGCAGCCAGAAGCAGACCCGATGCAAGGATGATGCCGAAGCCCTTTTGTGACTTCAGCTTCAAAACAAGGCAGACGGAATTTGCCCTTACACAAATAAGTTTTTATTAAGGTGAGTGAGGAAGAGGGGAGCTGCACATGAACAGACCAACAGGAAAATAAATAATTCCATATAAATAAGATACATAAATAGTCCCACATGGCAGAGACTGCCTTGAAATAAGAAACATCCCTGGGTCCCAACAAGAAGAGGGCTTCTCCAGGCAAGTCCTCAGATCCCATCCCCCTCCTTTATCAAACCTCAGGTTGTACCACACAATTCACAATTTTGGAGTAGACAGGGCACAGCTGGGCCCAGCAGAGCCCCCTCCTTAGTGTAGCAGTTGCAGAGTGACACACACCAGCCCACAGAGCCCCTGGCAGGGCAGGCATTGCCCTTCATTCCTGTCCATCCATGGGAAGGGATTTTTCCTATGCCACAGCACCCAAGGCTTGAAGTCAAGGCTGTGCCAGTCCTTGTCACGCCACACACGGTCTGTGTGGCCTGAAGAGGGCCACACCTGGGCAGGGCAGCCTGCAGCCCACTGCAAGCAGCTGCAAGCCACAAACAAGGCACTGCCAGCCCCAAACCTGGCTGCAAGGGCAGTCACCCACCATCACCTCCATGTACCACCCCACTCAGTCCATCCCACCAAGACCAGCACAACCAGAACAGGAGCTGCCAGCGGGAAGACAGCAATTGCCCAGAGCCAGGGAGCAGCTGTAACCACATCCACATGTCTTAGTCCAGAGTCCAGCTAAGCACTGGGATACACAGTGTCCAGGTGAGCAGCCAGCACCACAACATACCTCCCATCCCATGGGAGGGCAGAGGGGGAGACCACCATGTCCAGAGATGGTCCCCCAAGGTCCCATGCTAGGCCTCAGCCCATTCTTGGAGAAGCTTGAGAATGTATCTGAGGCGGTGCTGGAGTTCAGGAGAACAGCCCAGCTCCTGGATGCTGCACAGCTTGTAAGTGTAAGAGTTGCGCTCCTGGTTGATGTAGGTGACAAGGCAGGAGTGGTCAGGCTTGCTAATGATCACCTTGGTGTGGTCATTGTAGAAATTCACCTAGGAGACAAGTTGGACTTGGTTTAACATATGCTTCCTGCAGCATGTCGGGAGCCAGGATGGAGCCACACTTCCTGCCTCAACCCGTTCCTCCTCCCCAACCTGCCCAGGAGCAACCCTGCTCCATGTCCCATGGCAGGAATGTGTCAGCCTAAGCACTGGGGCAGACAGAAG